GCTGGTAAATTTCGTGTCCCTGTCGCTGATAATTGCTGCTGGTATCCCGTGCAGGCGAACAACGGCTGCGATGAACAGGCGAGCGGTCTCCTCGGCTGAGATCGACTTTTTGCACGCAGCGAAGTGTGCCATCTTCGTCAGCCTATCTACGACGACCATCACCGCGTCGTTAGCCCCAGGGTTCGAAGGTAACCCTGTGACGAAGTCCATGGTTACTTGCTGCCAGGCGCGTTCGGGCGGTGGGATCGGCTGCAATTGACCCGCCTTCCGCTTCCTTGAACTCTTCATCACCTGACACGTCGGGCACGAGCCCACGTGCTGCTGTACGTCGGTCAACAGCTCCGGCCAGTAATAGTACCGCTGCAGTTGCTGTCGCGTTTTTTCTACCCCGAAATGTCCCGAGGTAATCCCGTCGTGTGCCTCCTGCAGTAGCAGCTCCCTCAGTAGTGAGTACGCGGGTACCCAAATGCGGTTGGTGCCTGCTTTTACGTAATAGACTCCTTTTGCTTCTGCCAGTTGCTGTGAATTTCCGGTCGTGAAAAATGGGTCGGTGCGGTATCCGTGGGTGAATAGGCCAGTTAAAAGCGGGTTGGTCTGGGCGAGTAGGATGGCATGGAGTTGGGCGGTGGGGCGGGTGAGAGCGTCGGCGATGTTGGATGCACCCTTTTTGTACGTAACGGTGTAGTGAAAATTGGACTCGAGATAGTCCAACCAGCGAATCTGTCGTGGGTTGAGATTCGGTTGGGCGCGAAGATACTGTAGCGAGCGGTGGTCTGTCCGTACTGTCACGTCGGCGCCAGTCAGGTAACATCGCCAAACTTTGAACGCGTGCACGATCGCTAGCATCTCGCGGTCGTGTATCGGGTAGTTACGTTCGGGCGGGTATAACTTGCGGGACTCGTACGCGATTGGCTGGAGGCCGTTCCCAAAATCCTGCAACAGTACTGCTCCCACAGCGATGTCACTTGCGTCGGTGACGAGCTCGAACAGACGGTGGGGATCTGCAATGTGAAGGACGGGCGGGGAGCACAAAATATTTTTGAGGGCCGAGAAGGCAGCTTGCTCTTTCTCCCCCCACGTGTACTCTACCCCCTTCCTCAGCAGGTCAGTCAACGGGGCAGTCAGCTTCGCCATGTCGGGGACGAACCGGCGCACGTAGTTGACGAACCCCAGGAAACTCTGCAACTCGGTCAAGTTGGTCGGCGCGTGCCAAGCCTGAATCGTCGCAATTTTCTTCGGGTCTATTTCCACTCCTGCAGCTGAAATAACATGTCCCAAAAACTCCAGGCGGTCCTGTAAAAACTCACACTTAGATGCTTTGGTCAGTAGGCGGTTCTCACTCAGGATTTTTAAAACTGCTTCGAGGTCTTGTAAGTGCTGTGCTCTGTCAGGGCTGTAGATCAGTATGTCGTCCAGATAAACGATGACGCACTTATCTAAAAGCGGGCGGAATGCTTCGTTCATGGTCATTTGGAAAGTGGCGGGGGCGTTGGTCAGTCCGAATGGCATGACGGTGTATTCGAAGGATCCGTAGCGTGTTCGGAATGCGGTTTTAGGGCAGTCGGGTGGGTTGACGCGGATTTGGTGGTAGCCTCCTCGGAGGTCGATTTTCGAGAAAACCCGGGCTGTGCGCAGTTGGTCGATCAGTTCGTCGGCTCGTGGGATGGGGTAACGGGATTTGATGGTAACCCTGTTCAGTGCCCTGTAGTCGATGCACATGCGAAAACCCCCGTCCTTTTTCGGTGTGAACAGTATTGGTGCGGCGAAGGGCGACGAACTAGGGCGAATGAATTTCTTTTCGAGCAGGTAATCGAGCTGCTTCCTTAGTTCGTCTAGTTCGGGTTGGGTCAGTCGGAACTGTCGCTGTACTGTTGGCTGTGCCCCCGGTTCCAGTTCTATCCTGTGATCGTGCGGTCGCTGAGGTGGCAGTCCCGTCGGTAAGTCATCCGGGAAAATGTCACTGTACTGTTTTAACAGTGCCGCCAGGTCACTCGGTACGTCGGTCAGCAGTTTCTGTAAATCGCCCCCCTTGTCTGCTGCCTCGGCTTCCCGAACGTCAACCGCGTACACGTCAGCTCCGGCCGCAACAGCGCGTTTCATCGTGATCGCGTTGACACGCACCGACGAAGACTCAGGCGAGCCCCAGCGAGGTAAGGCGATGTTGTTACCGTTCACTCGCACGGTGCAGTCACCCGTCGTCCAGTCAATTCGCGGATTGTGTCGTCGCAGCCAATCACGCCCGAGTAAAATGTCGGTTCCGTCGAGGGTCGTTGCGAGCATTTCCTGACTAAACGTGAAGTTACCCCCGCATCGAATCCGAACTCGGTCTACGCGTTCCCGTATTGCCAGCGGCGTGCCGTCTACCAGTCGTGCGTCGATCTCAGGTAAGCATCGGTCCAGTGGCAGTCGCAGTTTTCGTGCTGTAGCAGTGTTAATGAGGCTGTGGCTGGCTCCCCCGTCTACGAAGATTTTAACTAAGTCCGTCCCAATTTTCCCACTGAGCAGTATAGGGCTATCTACCGTGGTACCCTCCTTATTCGGCCGGGTGTGGTCGATTGCGTGAACCGGCACAATCACTCGGTGAGGGTCGGTTGGGTCGGGCGAGCGGCGTGACCTGTCAGTAGAGGGCCCGTCTGCTACTGACTTCCAGCGTTTCCCTGCTGCTTGGTCTGTGTCTGCTGCTCAGCTTCCCCCTTTCCCTTAGCGTTTTCCGGGCATTCGCTCTTGCGATGTCCCGGCCGATTGCACGCAAAGCAGCGCCCTTTGAACGGTGCGGCAGCGGCATTTGCGGCGACGACGCGTATCGTGGCGCTCTCGTTCGTCCCACGAGGCCGATGTCCCCAGGTGTTGTTTCCGTAGGACCCCGGTCTCGGTCGGCGAAAGAAGTCGAGCTTCTCCGCCATAGCGAGAATTTCCTGAAACTCAGTGACGCCGCGAAGCTGGATTTCCTGAGCGATGTCCTGCTTCAGGCCGCCGATGTAGCGGTCGATGCGTTCGCTCTCATGCATGTAGCCCACCTGCTCGCATAGCGCCAGAAATCCGCTCGTATAATCCTGGACGGAACCGAGTTGGCGCCAAGTGCGGAGCTTCTGTCGCGCTGAGATCGAGGCCGCGATTGGCTCAAATCGAGCGCGCACACCTGCGCACCACGCGTCCCACGTGCGATACTGGGGCACCTCCACGAAATACGACGGCGCCCAGGGTCCGGTTTGTCCTTCCCGTGTCGGTAGTGTCGCGTAGTCGGTCGGCTTCGTGACGATGACGCGCCACCAGTCCATGGCGGGTCCTCGCAGCAACGACACGGCGTATCGAATCTTCGCCGAGTCCTCCGAGACGTAGTTGGCGTCGAAGAAAACATTCATTGTGAATAACCACGCCTGAACGGTAGGACCACCCCGTTGACTCGGGTCAAAGCATGGCGGGCGCTGCGGCTTCAGCGGCATCGGTGACGGCAGTCCCGAATCGTGGGTTGGTGCCGAAATCGTGACGCGAGGCTGACTTGGGGCCGCAGGCGTCGCTCTGGGGTGTGTCGTGCCGTGGTCGTCGTCTCCGTCGGGGCGGACGACGCCATCAATGGCCGCGCTCGCGGGTTGCCCCACACTCCCGTGTTGTGATGTTGAGGGCGCGGGTTGAATCGGAGTGCCAGGTGCTTGAGATTGTGCTCTCAGGAGGTCATTTTGCAGTGATGAGCGTTCTGCCGTCAATGCCGCGATTTCCTCGGAGCTTTCGTGCAGTTGTCGCAGCAGATCGTTCAAACGCTCTTGCGTGAGAGTGGTGACGTCGATGTTTTCGGCCATGACGAAGGGCGTCGGCTCGTCTTAGTCTAGGCGCAGTCGTGGCTGCACGCGTTTACGAGAGAACGCGAGGACAGCGGCTCCTAGGGGCTAAGGTGCGTGAGTCCCTTCGAGTGAAAAAATCAAAAGTTGATTTCCTGGTGTGCGGAGATGCGCGGTCCGAAAGAAAGGGGCTCTGATACCAAGTGTTACGGGTGCAATGAATCGAGGTAGCGAGAATTGCACTAAAGTGTCAAACGAGTACAAAATGTGAGCGAAGGCATGAGCGAACATTTATACGCGAAACATGCAAAACGGTAACGCGGTGCGTGCGAGCTTGCTAGTGCTACGCTGGAGCGAGGCTCGGGCTAGTCCCGAAGCGTAGGCCGATACGGCCATGCCAGCAGTGCGAGGTTTGGTAAAACAGTGCGCGCGAAGTCGGCGAAGTTCCGTTAGCAGTAACGGGCGAACAATCGGCTGTTGCTGTACGCGATGTAGTCGGCTCCGTAAGGAATGCCGAGAAATTCCTTACAAAAATATAAACATGAAAATAAAATTTGGCAAAATCGATCGTAAAGGGTTGCTTCGCAACCAAAAAAAAAAACAAATTTCTAGTTGGACCCAACTCGAATTTAGGGTCACTATTTTGCCTGCTCGCTTTAAGAGTGGTATTATAGCTTCCTTTTCTGGAATGGGCTTATTTAACTAAGAATACAGCATTTGCCCTTTCCATACTCTTATCTGAAAGCATGAAAGCCCATTGATCAATAATTAGTCTGAAACTATAAGCTTACTCGTGATTAACCTACATGTACTGTTGTGCCCTTTATCGCAACGTCGGAATTTGTTTTTTTTTCTGTAAAAACCGCTGCTGCAAATCCATGGATAGTAACCAGAATCATTGGCTCCTTTTCTCAAACGATCACCGCCTATCCCCGCTATGGTAGCTCTCCATTTGTTAAACTTCACCCGCTGATGGGCTCAAAGGGTCAGACGTCCGTCGCGCCGCGAGTGCTGACGTCATGGCGCGTCTCCTGGTCCCTCTGCTGCACTCCCCACAGCAGATTCGCCGCCGCCAATCGCCGTTGCCTCTTCATAGTCCTAGCCGTCCTGCTCTTTTTCATTTCAGAAATCCTCGTTTTAAGATACAGCTGCTCCGCTCCCCCATGGTCGAGTAGTAAATCAACCAAGTTAAAGCCCGTTCAGGCGACTGCCGCGGTCGGACCGATGGCGGACCCGGGAGGGATGGACGAGAGGAGTGCAGATCGGTTGCGGTATCCGGGGAGGAAGCGCGTGCTGGGTTTCGTCGGGGTTCAGACCGGTTTCGGCAGCCGCACTAGACGCGGGTTGCTTCGCGAGACATGGTTCCCCGCCACGCCCGAAGACCACGCGCGGTAGGCCATGAGCGGCCGAAAGCACCCTTGGCATGTTACGGGTAACAAAGGTCCGTTTTGAGGCGTCTCAGAACTCAGTTTTGAGAATTTTAAATGGTGACGCCATGAGCAGCGAAAGCAACCTTACAGCTAAGGTGAGCAGCCTTAGAGCTACGGGCGGCTCAGTACTGTTTTGGGGCGTCTCAGAAGTCAATACTAACCTTTGAGTCGACTCAAACGTCTCAGAAGTCAATACTAACCTTTGAGTCGACTCAAACGTCTCAGAAGTCAAGACTAACCTCTGGCTATTTTCAGACCTCTCATAACTCAAGACTCGCTTCTGCCTTCTTCGCTACACGTGGTTCCCCGCGTTGCCTGAGGACCACAGGCGTTAGGCCAGTGGTGGGAGCATGGCGGGGGGGCCATGGCGGGAGGGCATGGCGTGGGGGCATGGCGTGGGGGCATGGCGGGGGGGCATGGCGGGGGGGCATGGCGTGGGGGCATGGCATAAGCATCAGACTTGGGTTTAGTTCTGCAACCGTGAGTAACATGTGCTACTGGCAGTTCCGAGGGCCATGAGTGACCTAGGACGACATGCTGTGTGAGGAAGGTATTCACGTGAAATAAGTGACGTTTTGAGACGTCTCGTTTCAGTTTTGAAATAATCTTCACTTATTTCACATTCTGTGCTCTGATTGAAACCCTGTAGTGGTGAGCTGGCGGGAAGAGTTCACCACTCACCCACTCTTTCCAACAGTCGATCTGATACTGACCTCTTCCCGCTTCATGCGCCACGTGGTTCCCAGCCACGTGGTTCCCAGCCACGTGGTTCCCAGCCACGTGGTTCCCAGCCACGTGGTTCCCAGCCACGTGGTTCCCAGCCACGTGGTTCCCAGCCACGAGGTTCCCAGCCACGTGGTTCCCAGCCACGTGGTTCCCAGCCACGAGGTTCCCAGCCACGAGGTTTCCAGCCACGTGGTTCCCAGCCACGTGGTTCCCAGCCACGTGGTTCCCAGCCACGTGGTTCCCAGCCACGAGGTTCCCAGCCACGTGGTTCCCAGCCACGTGGTTCCCAGCCACGTGGTTCCCAGCCACGAGGTTCCCAGCCACGTGGTTCCCAGCCACGTGGTTCCTTCCCAGCCACGTGGTTCCCAGCCACGTGGTTCCCAGCCACGTGGTTCCCAGCCACGTGGTTCCCAGCCATGTGGTTCCCAGCCGTGAGGTTCCCAGCCACAACCGGTAGACCACAAGCGGTAGGCCATTCTTGTAGAAATTAGTTACTTGAGTAATCAGATGGAAGATTTTGGAGGCGCCTCAAAGCAGACCATGAGATAGGACGGCACCCACCCTTGTAGCTGATCCGCAAAACAGCGGAAGCGTGCTGGTACTTAGATGGAAGGTGCAGCATTGGAGGTGAGATGGTTGTAGTGGTCAGCCCCCTGTTCCCTGTGCGCCCTGAGGTCAGATGGTCAGCCCCCTGTTCCCTGTGCTCCCTGAGGTCAGATGGTCAGCCCCCTGTTCCCTGTGCGCCCTGAGGTCAGATGGTCAGCCCCCTGTTCCCTGTGCGCCCTGAGGTCAGATGGTCAGCCCCCTGTTCCCTGTGCGCCCTGAGGTCATATGGTCAGCCCCCTGTTCCCTGTGCGCCCTGAGGTCAGATGGTCAGCCCCCTGTTCCCTGTGCGCCTCACGCCATCTGTTTTGTGCGTTGTTCAACCCTGCCCTCCTTCCCTCCTCCCCCTTCTCGTCTACTTCAGCATAGAAGCAGCCCTCCCCCCCCCACCTCATTTTCCTCCATTCAGGGTGGAAGCAGCGACGGGGCTGGTGTTCCGGTTCATCATCGGGCATGGCAGGAGTGCAATGGATGAGCAGATGCTGCAGATGCCCTGCGCTCCCCATCCTCACACCTCCCCTCCCCCATGAATTCCAGCATAGAAGCAGCAACAGGGTTGGTGTTCCGGTTCATCATCGGGCACGGCAGAAGCACACTGGACGAGCAGCTGCTGCAGGCGGAGAACAGCACTCACGGGGACTTCCTTCGCATCGACGTGGACGAGGCGTACCTCAATCTCAACCACAAGACGTAAGGTTGTGAGGTTGCTTGCTGCTTGCAACGTGAGATGCTCGCTACTATTCTGCTTCTTTCTCACGTGCTGCTGCTACGTCGGAAGCTTCCATCTTCACACCTTTGCTCATACCCCCCACGCTCTTGCTGTAGTTCGCCCAGAAGTTCTGCTTAACCTTCGTAGTTGCAGTGGAAGTTCTTGATGTATGTATGTATACAGCTCTCCTCGCTCCTTTCTCGTCCTGCCCTCCTATCCCCCATTCCCCAGTCTCGTGTACTTCACGTCTCTCTTCAAGCTCTATGAAGCGGAATTTTACGTCAAGGCAGACGACGACATTTACTTGAGACCAGGTTTGTCCGTGTTATATTTTCTGTGAAACAGGATTGTAAGGAGTCTCATATGTTTGTGTCTGTGCGTGCGCGTTTCCGCAAAAACTTTTCTGATGAGTAAATCCTTCTCGTTTTTTTGGGAGAGAGAAAATGAGAATGCGAATTATTATGTTGCTGGCCACATTGGGCGACTTTTGAAACGCCTTAAAACTCGTTTCTTTTAAGAGTATAATGCTGATCATACGTTGCAGAAGAATGTCAAGAGTCCCGGCTTCTGCTGGCTGTTCTTTTTTTCGTCCCTGCAGACCGCCTCTCCTCTCTGATCGCCAGGCCAAGGAAATCACCTCGAACCTACCTTGGGTGCTTGAAGAAGGGAGCTGTGTTCACTAACCCCAAAATGAAGTGGTGAGTTTCCATAGTACACCTCATTTCGGGGCCTTTCTCAGCCCGTAACATGCAGTGGACTATTTGTTTGCAGCAGTTGTGCCTCTTGAGCTATTCTTGAGAGCCATGCAACTCATCCATGCCCCTGGATTCATTTAAAACCGCTCCTCTTTTTTTTTTTTTTTTTTTTATGGGTTCTGTGCAGGTTTGAGCCCAAGTCATGGCTGGTGGGATCGGAGTATTTCCTGCATGCCTACGGCCCCATCTACGCCCTCTCATACGACGTGGTCAACATTCTCAACTCCATTCCCAAGGGCAGGTGAGCTGTGCTTGTCTTGCAACGTGATGAGCCGTGCATGTATTTCCTGGATGCCTGCTGCACCATCTACGCCCTCTCGTACTATGTGGTCAACATTCTCAACACCATTCCCGAGGCCATGTCAGTTGTGCATGTTTTCGATTGAAGTGGGTCATGCCTGTCGTTGGTTGAGGCGAGTCGACTATGTCTGGTTGACAAATTTGTATAATACACTGGTAGGACCTGCAAGGGAGAATCTCTCAAACATAGGAGTCAGTACAAACACTGCAAGATAGGGTTGCTTTTGATTTTGAAATCCAACTTCTATTCTTCTCATGGCCGATAGGGTTTCTCTGTTTTTTTGTCATGCGCCATGGCCGCAGGTTGAGGATGTTCTTAAACGAGGATGTGACCGTAGGAGCATGGATGCTGGCCTTCGACGTATCGCATGAGATGAGCTGGCCTCTTTGCCAAAATAATTGCACGCCCACTGCTGTGGCTGTCTGGGACATGCCCACCTGTGCCGGCCTTTGCCACCCTGATGTTCAAATGAAGCAGCTACATCAAAACCCTGCCTGCTCCGGGAAAGAAGCAGTTTGACTTGTGTGCAAGTGGTTTAGGAAATGTACGCATACCTTAACTGATATGTGTGGGAATGTCTCACCATTGTTACTACAATTCAGTGTATCGTGCGTGCCCTAAATTTGGGTCATGAGCTGGCTTTCGTGGCAAAACAGCTGAACGCCATCTGATCTAGCTGTGTGTTGTTCATTCCTACCCGTGCTTTCGCTTGAGCGTGCCTAATCATTTGGGCTGGGCATCCTTGACGCGCAGATGATTATTCTGAATACCAAGATTGATTGGTTCATTAGCAAGTCGCTCAATAGGCTAAATCTTTGCCTTCGTTTCGAGCCCGTAGCGCTACGCCAGAGGGAAAATTGAGCCGAGGCAAGGGCACAGGTTTCCTGCGACCGAAGCACACCCCGAACCGAACAGCTCAGAGGAGACCCAATCACTGTCACCAAGTTTGCCAGTTTTTGGGTTCCCCGCCACCGCCGAACATATTTCTCCGGTCAGTGTAATATTTTCGATGACTCTGCTGAAGAGTACTTCAGAACTCGACGTCCATTTCTGACAAATGCCAGAACTTAACTTATAATCAAGCAAAGGCATATTGGAGGGCTTAGTGACTTTAGCCTCTCAAAAGCAAACTCCAACTACACCCGCCCGTTTGCAATTCTGGTCAAAATTAGTTGTCTCAAATCACTAAATAGTCTCACGGAGTCGGAGGGTGCCTCCTTCCGAACCAGACCAGACAACTCAATGTCAGCACCGAGCCTGGCAACACCCTTTTCGTTCTCATTTGTTTGCCGCCACTCCCCGTTTCCTACATTCTTGCTTTCGCTCTCCATTCTTGATTTTGCTCTCCACTACAGGTATAGTAGGAAAATGCTTTCAGCACTTCGGCATCACCACCCCTTATTGCCGCCTAGTCAATAACGTTTCGTGCCGCATTCGTACATCATTTCGAAATAGGTAGAACTGTAGCATTATATACTTTGAAACAATTTTCCGGGCCAAGATTTTCGGGTTGAGCGCTACACGACGCCTCGGCATGGCGCATTGGTCGCCACTCCCCGCTGTACAAACCTTTCCCCGCGCTCGCCAAGGGCCCGCACACTCGCGCAGCGCAATCCGAAAGCGCGCCGAGTCCCGTCGCCGCGGCAACTACCTGTCGCACGTTGCTCTGCTCGCCTCGCTCCTCGTGCTTCGTCTCCCCACTTCCTTCGCCGTCCTCATTGACTCCTCGCAAGGTACATCTGCGAGTCGCAAGGTACATCTGCGAGTCGCAAGGTACAGCTGCGAGTCGCAAGGTACAGCTGCGAGTCGCAAGGTACAGCTGCGAGTCGCAAGGGACAGCTGCGAGTCGCAAGGTACAGCTGCGAGTCGCCAGGTACAGCCGCGAGTCGCAAGGTACATCTGCGAATGGCTTTCGAGGCGCCTCTAAAGTCCCCTTGTCCATCGCCGCTCCTACTGAGTAATCCCAAAAGGTGATTTTGAAATCTCTCAAAAGTGACTCCCCGCTTCCTTGGCCGTCCTCATCGACTCCTCGCAAGGTACAGCCGCGAGTCGCAAGGTACAGCTACGAGTCGCAAGGTACAGCACGTGTCGCAAGGTACAGCCGCGAGTCGCAAGGTACAGCTACGAGTCGCAAGGTACAGCTACGAGTCGCAAGGTACAGCCGCGAGTCGCAAGGTACAGCTACGAGTCGCAAAATTTCAGTCGCGAATCGCAAGGTACAGCTGCAATTGGCAATTCGCACTTCGCGAACACCCCCATTGGCGCCGACTCGCGCCCCCATTGACCCTCGCAAAGTATAGCCGCGCTGCGCTTCAAATTGTTTCTTGAATCCCCTGTCCGCCGCGTCGTTCGCGCCGCCGACGCCTACTAGCACTATCGGCGGCGCGTTCTAGTGATTTTAACGTCAGCTGACTTAAACAGGGCTGAAAGCGCACCGTTGCGCCTCTGGCTGAAACATCGCAGTTTTGGCCAAGTGGTCTAGAGCACTGGGGGCGACAGCGACGCAGCCCTTCTACTGATACGCCTGCTGCCCGTTCTCTTGAAAAGCAGTCGTTGATGCGCCTGCTGCCCGTTCTCAGTCCTACTGTGGCCATTCCGAATGTACAGAGCGGCTCTGTGAGCCTACAGTCCCTGCTGACTCCGCCCGCTGCCCCCTGACTTTTGAGTCGACTCAAAAGAGGTGACTTTTGAGTCGACTCAAACAGGTCCACGCTTTCTCCCAGTCCCCGCTGTACCCGCTGCGCCCTTTTCCATCACCTCATCAACTTCCCCCGTCTTCCCTTCCCCCCATCTTTCCCCCGCCGTCCCATCCTTCCCTCTGTCCCCCATCCTCCCTTCTCCGCCTCCCCATCCCCCAGTTCCCCCGCTGCTGGAGATGCAGGCGGGGTGGGGAGTGAGCCTCAACGAGTGGCGCGCCAATGGCAACTGTGATGCTGCCACAGGGCTGACGTGCGATGAGGGCGGGTTCGTCGTGGGCATGTGAGTTAAGGTGACTTGAGTCGATTCCCAAGTCGCCACGGGGCTGGTTTGCAATGAGGGCGGGCATATGAGTGGTGTGCATATGAGTGGTGTGCATGTGAGTGGTGTGCATGTGAGTGGTGTGCATGTGAGTGGTGTGCATGTGAGTGGTGTGCATGTGAGTGGTGTGCATGTGAGTGGTGTGCATGTGAGTGGTGTGCATGTGAGTGGTGTGCATGTGAGTGGTGTGCATGTGAGTGGTGTGCATGTGAGTGGTGTGCATGTGAGTGGTGTGCATGTGAGTGAGGAGCATGTGAGTGAGGAGCATGCGAGTGATGCGCATGGGGGTGAATGACGAGGATGAGACGAACATGCAATCACGTGCCATCAGTAATGTCACTGCCTGACTGCCACTACCCCTTTTTCGCCTCCTGGACACCCCCCCCCCCCCGTCTTTCCCTCCTCCCTCCTCCCTCCTCCCTCCTCCCTCCTCCCTCCTCCCTCCTCCCTCCTCCCTCCTCCCTCTTCCCTCCTCCCTCCTCCCTCCTCCCTCCTCCCTCCTCCCTCCTCCCTCCTCCCTCCTCCCTCCTCCCTCCTCCCTCCTGCCTCCTTCTCGTCCCTCCATCCACACACACACATGGCAGGACCCTCACAGCGGAGCAGGTGCCTGCAGGGCTGCCAGGGCCCTTCCCCACGGCCATTGGCAGCCTTACCCACCTCACAGACCTGTGAGCACCGCACACCCCTCCCTCCACTGTGGTGACTGTTGCACCACCTCTGCTTGTAGTGTGTTGACGACTGAACACGTAAACTACCAGCCAGCCTTGAAGTTGAGACAGATCTTAGGCCCCTTGAATTGAAACTCGCCTGGATTTATTCGGCGCTTACGGCAGGACTTGAACCGGAGACCTTTCCCTTCTGAGCTCATCCCTGTGTCCCATCCCAACCCGCCCCATCATCATCGCAAGCTAACCGCCTGCTCATCCCTGTGCAGTGCTCGGTTTGTTTGTTTATTGTGTTGAGAGATTCCATTCCTCCTGTTCCTTTTTGTCTCGTCTCCTGCATTCGACGTGACGCGGCAATGTGCAGAACGCTTGACCTGAGCAACGGAACCGCTTCCATTCCCAATGCCATCAGCACCCTCCGCCGCCTCGCTACCCTGTCAGTGCCTCGCCTCCCTGTCACTGCCTCGCCTCCCTGTCACTGCCTTGTCTCCCTGTCGCATCTCCTCTTCCTCTCAGCTTCATTGTCATCTCCTTTATAAGCATCTCCCACAGGCGTCCATCTATCCATGATGTTAAGCATCCACCCCCAATGCTGCCATCCATCCCCCCATGCTGCCATCCATCCCCCCATCCATCCCCCCATCCATCCCCCCATCCCCCCATCCATCCCCACATGCTGCCATCCATCCCCCCATCCATCCCCCCATCCATCCCCCCATCCATCCCCCCATGCTGCCATCCATCCCCCCATCCATCCCCCCATACTGCCATCCACCCCCCCCACATGCTGCCATGTCATGCCCCCCCCATGATGCCACACAGGCGGCTCTCAGGTGCGGCTCTCCGGGGCACCCTGCCCTCAGCCCTCGCGCAGCTTCCTGCGCTCTCTTCTCTGTCAGTGCCTCTGCTTGCCTTTTGAGACTTTTGAGACACCTCAAAGTCTTTTTGAGACACCTCAAAGTCTTTTTGAGACGCCTCAAAGTCTTTTTGAGACGCCTCAAAAGTATTCTCAGGAGCAGCTCTGCGTGGCAATGTGCCCTCAGCCATGCCCAGCTCACTGCGCTCTCCTCGCTTTGTCAGTGCACCTCCATGCACCTTCACGCACCTCCATGCTTCCTTGAGCCGTGCACGCACTCTTGCACCCCCATACCTTCATCATCCATCATTGCACGACAAGCCCACATACTCACAAAACCTCCCTTCGTTTCTCACAAACCTCACGACAAGCCCACAAAGCTCACATACCTTCATTGTTTCTTCCCCTCTGCTTTTGCTTCCTCCATGACCCCTCCACCCATCTGTGCTCAGCTCACTGGTTGACAGCATGCTCACAGGCTGAAGGTTCTAGCTCCTAAATCGACTCAGAAGTCACCTTCTCTCTGCCCTCCCCCTCCACCCATCTGTGCTCAGCTCGCTGCTAACAGCACGCTCGCAGGCCGACGTTTCTAGCTCCTGAATCGACTCAAAAGTCACCTTCCCTGTTCTCTCCCCCTCCACCCATCTGTGCTCAGCTCACTGGTTGACAGCATGCTCACCGGCTCCATTCCAGCTTTCCTCTCGGCGCTCACACAATTGACAGAGCTGTACGTTACATTCCAGCTACAGACTCAGATGTTGCCTAGTAGTCATGTTCACTCTAACCTCACTGGCTCCATTCCAGCTTTCCTTTCGGCGCTCTTACAGCTCGCAGAGCTGTACGTTCTAGCTGCTGAGTCAAACTCAAACGCGACTCCGTTGCCGAGAAAGAGTAATGTTCGATCTAACCTCACGCACTCCATTCTTGAGGCGTCTCAAAAGTCGTCTAACCTCCGCGCTCCATTCTTGAGACGTCTCAAAAGTCGTCTAACCTCCGCGCTCCATTCTTGAGGCGTCTCAAAAGTCGTCTAACCTCCGCGCTCCATTCTTGAGACGTCTCAAAAGTCGTCTAACCTCACGCGCTCCATTCCAGCCAGCCTTCCTGCCTGGCTCTGGCACAGTTCTTTGTGAATTCTCAAAAAATTCACACAGCTGTGCGTTCTAGCTTGCATGCGTTGTTCAAAAGAGATCGTCGCTCGAACCTCACGCGCTCCATTCCTTCCAGCCATCACTCCCGTCCAGCTCTGGCACAGCTCACACAGCTATACGTTGGATGACTCTACTCTACCATACATGATCAATGAAGTGAAGGAGCTTGGGTAGCTGCATTGAGAAAGCCAGTGCTTGCCATCCCATGCCTTGCCTTGCCGTCCCATCCCATGCCATCCATGCATCCCATCCCATCCCATCCCATCCCATCCCATCCCATCCCATCCCATCCCATCCCATCCCATCCCATCCCATCCCATCCCATCCCATCCCATCCCATCCCATGCCTTCCATGCCATGCTATGCCATCCATGCCATCCCATTCCAACTCATCCCATGCATACATCCCATCCCATGCTATCCCATACCATGCAAGAACATGCCATGCCATGTCATCCCATGCCATCCCATCCCATGCCATGTGGTTACACCCTCTTCACATACAGGGCCATGTATAACGGTGCCTTCAATGGTGTTATACCTGATACAATCACATCCCACACTGCGCTACAGCGTCTGTAGGTTTGACAACTTGGAAACTATATAATCCATCTGTGTTTTTTTTTTTCCGCTGCGAGCGATTGTTGCATCCATCACAGCCATGCGTTGGTGCTAGAAAAAACATAACCTCCTCAAGCGGTGCTTGTTTTTGAGTCGACTAGAACATCACAGCCTTGAGTTGGTGCTAGGAAACACGTAAGCCCCTCAAGTGGTGCTTGTCCTCCTTACTAGCCCTACAGTGCCTGCAAGTGTTTTACACTTTCACCTGCCGTCCAAATTTCTTTCCTGTGACGTGGGTATCCTCCTTTGTCTCTTCCCTTGTCTCCCTTCCCCTGTCTCTCTTCCTCTGTCTCTCTGCTCCTGTCACCCTTCCCCTGTCACCCTTCCCCTGTCACCCTTCCCCTGTCACCCTTCCCCTGTCACCCTTCCCCTGTCACCGTTCCCCTGACACCCTTCCCCTGTCACCCTTCCCCTGTCACCCTTCCCCTGTCACCCTTCCCCTGTCACCCTTCCCCTGTCACCCTTCCCCTGTCACCCTTCCCCTGTCACCCTTCCCCTGTCACCCTTCCCCTGTCACCCTTCCCCTGTCACCCTTCCCCTGTCACCCTTCCCCTGTCACCCTTCCCCTGTCACCCTTCCCCTGTCACCCTTCCCCTGTCACCCTTCCCCTGTCACCCTTCCCCTGTCACCCTTCCCCTGTCACCCTTCCCCTGTCACCCTTCCCCTGTCACCCTTCCCCTGTCACCCTTCCCCTGTCACCCTTCCCCTGTCACCCTTCCCCTGTCACCCTTCCCCTGTCACCCTTCCCCTGTCACCCTTCCCCTGTCACCCTTCCCCTGTCACCCTTCCCCTGTCACCCTTCCCCTGTCACCCTTCTCCTGTCACCCTTCTCCTGTCACCCTTCTCCTGTCACCCTTCCCCTGTCACCCTTCCCCTGTCACCCTTCCCCTGTCACCCTTCTCCTGTCACCCTTCCCCTGTCACCCTTCCCCTGTCACCCTTCTCCTGTCACCCTTCTCCTGTCACCCTTCCCCTGACACCCTTCCCCTGTCACCCTTCTCCTGTCACCCTTCTCCTGTCACCCTTCTCCTGTCACCCTTCCCCTGTCACCCTTCCCCTGTCACCCTTCCCCTGTCACCCTTCTCCTGTCACCCTTCCCCTGTCACCCTTCCCCTGTCACCCTTCTCCTGTCACCCTTCTCCTGTCACCCTTCCCCTGACACCCTTCCCCTGTCACCCTTCTCCTGTCACCCTTCCCCTGTCACCCTTCCCCTGACACCCTTCCCCTGTCACCCTTCCCCTGTCACCCTTCCCCTGTCACCCTTCCCCTGTCACCCTTCCCCTGTCACCCTTCCCCTGTCACCCTTCCCCTGACACCCTTCCCCTGTCACCCTTCCCCTGTCACCCTTCCCCTGTCACCCTTCCCCTGTCACCCTTCCCCTGTCACCCTTCCCCTGTCACCCTTCCCCTGTCACCCTTCCCCTGCGCCCCATCAGCATGCTAGCACAGAACAACTTCACAGGAAGCATTCCCAGCAGCATCAGTGCGTTGAACAGCCTCGAGTACCTGTGAGTAATGCTGCTGCCTCTTCAACCTCGTAGGGTCGTCACTCACTCATAGCGGTATAGCTGCAGATCTGAAGCTTGGAGCCTGTTCAAATGAATCGAGTTCAAATGAATCGAGTTCAAATGAATCGAGTTCAAATGAATCGAGCTCAAATGAATCGAGTTCAATCGACTCTCTCGGCTTTGCGTGTGAGCATCTTTTCAGGCCAAAGAGGGTATAACTGCTTTGCTATGCTAAAGATGCTCAATAGAGGCTAAAGAGCATCTTAACTGAATTCTCAAATCTCCTCCCTGCCCCTCCCACTCCCCCCTGCCCGTCCTACCCACTCCCCCCAGGGCCATCGGAACCAACCCCCTCTCAGGCTCCCTCCCGGCCGCCCTTGCATCGCTGCCTCTCCTGCAATACCTGTACGCCCCTCACCACTGCACACCACCCGCCCTAGCAGGCATGCACAGGCAGGCATGCACTGGCAGGCATGCGCTGGCAGGCATGCGCTGGCAGGCATGCGCTGGCAGGCATGCGCAGGCAGGCATGCGCAGGCAGGCATGCGCTGGCAGGCATGCGCTGGCAGGCATGCGCAGGCAGGCATGCGCTGGCAGGCATGCGCTGGCAGGCATGCGCTGGCAGGCATGCGCAGGCAGGCATGCGCTGGCAGGCATGCGCAGGCAGGCATGCGCTGGCAGGCATGCGCTGGCAGGCATGCGCAGGCAGACATGCGCTGGCAGGCCTGTGCTGGACGCCCTTGTGTCACTCGCCACAGCAAACCCCCAGTCCTGGCAGGCACTTGTGCTGGCAGGCATGTGCCTGCACTGCACTGCATTGCAATGCACAACATATGCCGTATGGTGCATGGTGAAAGCAGCATAATATTTCCACACGGAGCATGGGTGGCAAGCTTATTCACCCAAACAGCCGTGCCAGTTCATCATGGCACCCAGTAGCTACTGGTAGCTGTTCATGGCACCCTCGCTACTGGTTCAGTTCAGTTCTGCAGCAGCTTGGCTCGCCGCTTCCTCCTCCCGACCACTCTCATCTCTGAGGAGTGAGAGATTCAGGAATGATTGTTCTGTCGACTCAAGCATAGCCCCTTCTCCTGGCTGCACTTGGCTCAGAGGGGACAAGAATGGCAAATCATCAGGAACAAGAGAAGGTCGAGGAATGCTCTGAGGGGGTTTTTGAGGCGCCTCAAGAACCACCTGAATGGCAAATCAACCGGAATGCTCTGTAGATGCAGAATCCATGTGCATATCGAGTTGAGTATTGAAGGGCTGTTGTGCCTCTTGCTTGCTTGCTTCTTCCTCGCCTGTGTTGTGTGCAACGCTACATGGCAGGGATGTGAGCTCTGCGAGCATCAAGGGCTCCATCCCATCAGCACTGGGCAACCTGAGCCGGTTACGCATGCTGTGAGTGTGGCAATGCAGCGAGGGTGGCAATGCAGCGAGTGTGGCAATGCAGCGAGGGTGGCAATGCAGCGGGTGTGGCAATGCAGCGAGGGTGGCAATGCAGCGGGTGTGGCAATGCAGCGGGTGCGCGCCTTCTGAGACGTCTCAAAAGTCGCCTCCTTACACGCGGATCTTTTGTTCTAGGGCTCCACCCCATCACAGTTGAAATTGATTGGATTCGAAACGCAGCAAGCCTGCTAAGAGTAACGATCTGTAGTACCGAGCCTACTAATCTGAAAGTCGAGGGAAGTAGTGAGAAAACGTCTGCTAATCAGAAAGCCAGACACATTAGGCCTGGATGTCACGTGTGTGGATCTTTTGTTCTAGGGTTCCACCCCATCAGCACCGGGCAACTTGGGTCAGCTACATGTGGCAGTGCTGTGATGTGGCAGTGCTGTGAGTGCGGCAATGCTATGAGTATGGCAGTGCTTTGAGTGCTCGTGTTGCGAGTGCGCGTGCTGCGAGTGCGTCTGCTGTGAGTGTGGCATTGCTCTGAGAGTGCACTCACGTTCTTCATCACGAAGCTTCATATCGCCCACATTAACTCGCATGGCCTCCCGCCATATGATTAGGCGAGCAGCAGTCTAAAAGAAATCTTTAGCAAAGGATTAACAGTACGATCTGTTGTTGTTCCTGCTAAAAACAAGGAGGTTCAAGAAATCCGACTCAAAATTCCACTCAAAGATTAAAACGAGGCAAACTAGTTTCGGGTGACGGGACAGGCCCCAATCACACCTTCATCAGTGCAAGTGGAAAATGAAAGAGAATGAGGAAGACGAAGCATTTGGGCAAACACTACGTCTCGGAAAACAAAACTCCAGGTTGTTGCAACCGTGGCCAGAAATCTGGTTGGCCAATCCCTGACGACCTAGAAAAGTCCAAGTCTTCGGGGTCTTCATTCCTCGTGGCGTAACGTTGAAGTAACACAATCCGCCAGCTGGTGCTCAGGGAGCCTCGCGCGAACCAGTAACCTTTGCAGGTTACAACCAGTTTTCCAAGCAACAAAACAGCCCTCTATGTAAAATCCGTGTGTAAGTAGACGACTTTTGAGACGACTTCTCGAATCGCCCCCCACTGGCATCGCCCCACTGGCATCGCCCCACTGGCATCGCCCCACTGGCATCGCCCCACTGGCAGGGCTCTGGGCAGCAACCATCTCACGTGTGATGAGTCTGCTTTTGAGTCGACTCAAAAACAGACCCACCACCCATCTGATCGAATCGCCCCACTGGCAGAGCTCTGGGCGGCAACCAACTCACGGGCGGCATTCCTCCGTCCATTGCTGGCCTCTCTGCCCTCACCCAACTGTCAGTCATCTTCCTTTTCTGCTCCATTTCCTCGGGTATCAATTGGGCTGCATCCATGCATACCACATATTCCACTGTGTGCCATTCCCCACAAGTCACCAGTTTTTAGACGTCTCAGTCAGTGCCAATTATCCCCCAATTTGCCCCTGGATGTATCCTTCAAAGCTCAAACCATCCGCATCCTCCCACCCTTCCATCCTCCCTTCCTGCCACTCTCCCACCCTCCCATCCTCCCAACCCCTTATCCTCCCACCCTCCCTTCCTGCCATCCTCCCACCCTCCCATCCTCCCATCCACCCATTGCATGTAGCAACCTGGCTGGCAACAACCTCACAGGCTCCATTCCCCCCGCCATAAGCCTCCTCAATAAGCTTAGTGTCATGTGAGTGATGGCGGCTTGCTGATCCGTATGCATTTTGGTCGCTTTTGTTTGAACATCTGTTATCTCAACCTACAATAACAAAAATCCATATGGAAAATCTTGGCTTGTACTGCTGCTTATCTCATCCCAATTGAAGCCTCTTCCTAATTGTATTGCTTGTTTTTATTGCTTAACCACTTCTTTTCAGCTCTATCTAACGTCCCTAAACTAGTTAAATGCAATGCTAGTCCTTTACGTTGAACGTGATGCACTGTCAAATCATGCCATGTAGCAGGATGCAATCCTAGGGTCTGCCTAGTAATTCGCCGCGTGAAAGAAGTGTGCTTTTGAGACGTCTCAAAAACACTCTTCTTTCACCTGTTTAATCATGTCATGTAGCAGGATGCAATCCTGGGGTTTGCCTAATAATTCGCCAATGTATTTCCCTTGTGCCGCCCCGCCCCTCCTTTCCATCCCTGTCTGCCACCCCTCTCTTTCAATAACTCCCCTCTTCTCCATTAACTCCCCTCTCCCTTCTCTCCTCCTCCGTCCCTCCCATCCATCCACTCTGCAGCGATCTCTCCTACAACCTCCTCTCAGGCCCCATCCCTGCAGTCCTCAGCGCCCTTCCCAACCTCTCTTCCATGTATGTGCCACCTCTCTTCCATGTATGTGCCACCTCTCTTCCATGTATGTGCCACCTCTCTTCCATGTATGTACCACCTCTCTTCCATGTATGTGCCACCTCTCTTCCATGTATGTGCCACCTCTCATCCCATCCCATGTGCATACGATACGACAGCTCGCCCCTGCTCGCCGTCCCTAACTGTCACTTGGTCTCCAATTCTTATTTTTTCCTCTCTTCTGTATCACCCATCTTCATATGCATCACCCATCTTCACATCACATGCATCACCCATCACCAATCACAGCACGCATTGCCCTTCGTTCCATGCGTCACCCATGCTGACGTGGCAGCAACTTGGGCAACAACCAGCTCACAGGGCCCTTTCCACCGTCGCTTGCCAACCATACGAGTGTCACTTACATGTGAGTCCATATCAGCTTCATGAGTGTCCACATTGGCTTCATGAGTGTCCACATCAGCTTCATGAGTGTCCTCATCAGCTTCAAGAGTGTCCACATCAGCTTCATGGGTGTCCACATCAGCAACGCCCTCGACCATGTCAGGCCCTGCCCACATCAGCTTCAGCATTTATCACTCATGCCACGTGCCTCACGTGCTGTGCTCCATGCAAAGTTTTTGAGTCGACTCAAAAACAGGCTCAGCATTTATCACTCATGCCACGTGCCTCACGTGCTGTGCTCATGCAAAGCAAACACCCCCCCTGTTCCATTCCATCATTGCACCTCTCCCCCTCATACCCCCTGCTGCTTCCTTTCTCTGTTTTCTCTTCCCTCTCCCTCACCTTCCCTGCCCTTCCCTACCCGCCCCTCAAACACAAAAGCCCGCAGAACACTTTTGAGATGTCTCAAATGCCCTTCCCGTCCCTTCCTGATCCCCCCCCACCTGTCCCAACCACAGCAGCCTGCAGAACAGCCTCCTCTCCGGCTCGCTGCCGGCCTCTCTCTCTTTGCTGCGTTTGAGTCACTTTGTAGAACTCTTAGAAGTAACTCACCCCGCAACACCCCTCCCTTTCTCCAACCACAGCGGCCTGCAGAACAACCACCTCTCTGGCTCGCTGCCGGCCTCCCTCTCCTCACTGCCGTCCCTCGTCTACCTGTCAGTGCAGCCTTCATTCACTCTCCTCCACTCTCAGACACAATTCTTCACTCTTTCGAACTGCCCCAAAAAGCCTTGTCACCGAATATGCACGGTTGTGCATATAAGGTGCCAGTATCATGGTGGTGTAGTGGAGGTGTAGCTATGTTGTGTTTGCAAATTCGAGGATAGGTAGGTGGGAGCTGGGAAATTGACGCGAAGTTGGTAGGAGAGCACCTTGGGTGAAATCCTTGCAACCAATGAGAACGAACCACAGGCTCGAGCCGCACATTGAGAAATGCACGGTTCGAGCCAGGGTCAGGTAAGTTCACTCTCACACACACCTCTGATGCTTTCTGTTTGTTATCCTTTCGTATAGAGGACTGTTGTCACCTTACCAGAGCAGGCGGGTGGCACACCACTCAGGGAGGACCTTTGAGGTGAGAGTTCTGTCGCTTTCATAACAAACAGAAAGGTGCGCGTACAAGCATGGATGTGTACGAGATGCGTTACGGCAGGAATTATGGTCGCCGTGAGGCGGATCGCTCGCGGCGCGAACGCTCACGTGAGCGCGGGCGCTCGCTGGAGAGGTCGCCGCAGCAGCCTGAGCGATCGCCGCGGAGGCCGGCCTTTCGCGCGGATCAGGTCCCTCTCGCGCCAGATCGCCAGGAGGGAGGATCCGCCCGAGAAGGAAGAGGCGGATCTGGATCCGTCACGACGGGGAGTGACCCGTGGCGGACAAACGGGCGTCACGGAGCGGATGGTGGTCGTGGGTACCGCCAGGACACGGGAGCATACCGCTCGCCGGAGGAAGGCTATCGCCGTCGCGAAGAGAGAAGTCGCGGGCGAGGTCTGGAGGAGCTCTTCTCGGGTCGCCAAGGCGATCTTGATGTGGATGGAGAAGACGAGGCCGACTCGGCGAATCGAGTGCGGGAGACGAATCGTGAAGGCGAGACCAAGGGTGATGACAAACCCCAGGAGGAAGGCGCAGGCGAGCAGCGCGAGATGCCCGCTGAAGTTGATGACGACGATCCCGCGCAGGCGGGCGTGGCGGCGGAGCCGAGCACGGCGGAGGCGGAAGGAAAGGGCGGTACTCGAGACCTGCCGCGCGACGGAGAGAAAGGTGACGGCGGGGGGCGTGGCAGTGGCGCGCGCTCTCCAAATCCGCGTCAGCAGCGTGACGAGGGACGTGGCGGCGGCGCGCGTTCGCCTGATCCGCGGCTGAATCGGGACGGAGGACGCGGCGGCGGTGCGCGCTCGCCAGAGCCTCGGCTGAATCGTGATGGGGGACGCGACAGAGGCACGCGCTGGCCAGATCCACGGATGTATCGGGAGGGGGGGCGTGGCGGCGGTATGCGCTCGCCAGATCGGCGGCAGAATCGTGACGGGGAACGCAGTGGCGGCGCGCGCTCGCCAGATCCACGTCTCCCGCACGAGGACGGGAGGCACGGAAGCGGCCACCGCTCGCCAGGACGGCAGCAGCTGCAGGAAGAAAGGCGCAGAGGCGGCTACCGCTCGCCAGAGCTACGGCGGCACCAGGACAGTGGACGCGGGGGAAGTGTGCGCTCACCAGATCCGCGGAGGTATCACAACTGGAGAAGCGGGGGAAGTGTGCGCTCACCAGATCCGCGGAGGTATCACAACTGGAGAAGCGGGGGGGAGCTGCGCTCTCCAGGTCCTCGTTACCCTCGTGATGAGAGACGCGGAGGCGACTACCGCTCGCCTGATCTGCAACGGCATCATGGAGAGAGGTGGGGAAGTGGGACGCGCTCGCCCGACTGGCACAGGCAACATGAAGAAAGCCGGGGAGGCGGATACGGCTCGCAGCTTTGGCAACAGAGCAGGGATGAGGGGCGCGGCGGAGGGTATCACTCATCTGATCGGTACTGGCAGCATGACGGAAGACGTACCAGTGAGGGAGGACGGTCTCAACTCAACAGCGGAGAGGAAGTCAGCGGGCTGATGCACAGCCTAGAACGGGCTAGAGAGGCGAGGGAAGGAATAATGCGGGCGAGAGAGAGAGGAGCATCAGGGAGATCAGCAGGAGGGCCGAGCGAGGCGTGGGGAGAAGGCAAGGGAAGCACGGTAATGGCCACGAGAGTGGAAGTGCCAGCACGCTTCTCAGGGGATCAGCGCACGGGCCCCACGATGAAGAACTACCTGATGCAGGTGGGCAACGTGCGGTACAGATGCGAAAAGAGCGGCATGGACTCGGTGGACTTTTTCCTGAGTCTGCCAAACACATTGGAAGGGGAGGCGGAGACATTGTACAGGATGAAGATGGATGAGCTACTGGAAAGGGCAGGAAGGTACGGGGAAGAACCTACTGAAGCATTCCTAAGGCGGCTGAAACGGCAGTTTCCAGGCCGCAGAGAAGATCAGGGAATTCCAAGATTTCAGGAAGGGGCGGGGCGAGTCGCTACCCACCTACTATAACCGGCTGGTCAACCTGGCAGAGGATGTGACTTGCGCAGACATGGCCCTGCTCGTGAGTAATTTCCTGGATGGGCTGGAGGGCACTTTGGGAAGCGGACTGCAGATGAAGGTGTATGAGATGGGGGCCGACACAACGCTTGAAGAGTTGTTTGAACTGGCAGAGAAGATGGAGCTGGCGCAGAGGAAATATGAAGCATACAGGCCCAGACAGGCGGAGCGAGGCAGGGGGCCTACATGGGCTGCGGCCATGATACCGGAGGAGAAGGACAGGGCAACGGGAAGAGGGGAGACCAGGCCTGACACACGAACATGCCACAGATGCGGGCAGCCAGGACACTTGCGCCGAGACTGCAAGAACTATGACTCCTGTGGCAAGCCAGGCCATCGGCGGCGGGAATGTCCAACGGCACCGAAGTGTGAAGTCTGTGGGAAAGGAGGGCATGCAACAAAGGAGTGTTATCAACGAGAGGGAGCAGCGAAGAAGTCACCAGAAGATCTGGAGAAGCAAATCAGCAGGCTGCAAGCCCAGCTGCAGGCAATGGGACCACAACGGGAAGCTGAGGCGGGGATGTACGCCAAGGAAGAGGAGGAAGAAGATGTGGAGCAGGATGAGGAAGCCGCGTTCATGGTCTGGGCAGGAAGAGGAGAGAATGAGATGGAGCATGAGGAGCAACCAGCATACATGGCATGGCGAGGAAGGGAGGAGATGGGGTTGCGCAGCGGAGGAAAGGATGCACGGAAGGAGCAGCTGAGAAAGGAGCGGGAGAGAGGACAGAAGCCGGAGGAAAAGGAGGAGAGATGCACAGCAGCACGGCACCCCCAGGAGAGGTTGGCTTGCCAGACTTCCGTGCTGCTGATCCAAGGTGGTGCACTGTCAGTGGAAGGGGAGAAGGCTAAGACGGCTATTATAGACACTGGAGCGCAGAGCGTGATACTCGGAAAGGGGATGGCCGAGAAGCTGGGACTGTGGGCACCTGGCAGGCATGTGGTGAAGGGGATGCTAGTGATGACAGCAGAGGGGGGAGAGTCGAAGTGGATGCCTTGTACGAGGACTCCAATAGAACTGACGGTGCTGAAGGGGGAGAAGCATGAGACGCCGGTTAGAATCAGGTGCGGGATCTCAGAGTCAGAAGATTTTGACGTCCTGGTGGGCACAGAGATGATCTTTGCATTGGGCATGACCATCTGCTTCTGGAAGGAGACAGTGGAGTTCAGAACCAGGTGGTGGAGGAAGGGTGAGCCACTGGGGCAGCTGCCAGTGCAGTTTGTCAGGACCGAGCCAAAAAGGGCCTACAGGGCAGATCTGAAGGAGGTGACAGCGAAGCAGGGGGCACAGAAGGCCGCAACAGGCAAGGGACAAGGTGGGGAGCCCAGGATGCGTTTCATGGACGAACCTAGCCAGCAGACTGATTGGCAGGAACCCATTCGGTTGGTGGAGCTGTTCGGAGGAATCGGGGCGGGACTGGCAGCAGTGGTGCGAAATGGAATTGCAGTGAAGCAGTGGATTTACGTGGAGAAAGCACCAGAAGTGAGGAAAATAGCGGAGCATCAGGCGTGGGAGTTGCACAGAGAGTTCCCGGAGCTGCTGCAGGGAGAGGTGATCAAGGCAGCAATGAGCAGAGGAATGAACGATGTAAGGGCCATTACGGAAGCTGAGGTAGCAAGCTGGGGGCACGTGGACCTGTTGGTGGCAGGGTGGGAATGCCAAGGGGTATCATGGGCAGGGAAGGGCAAGGGTGAGCAAGACCTACGAACACAACTGATGGAGGATCTGTTCAGAGTCATGGAGTGGATGCAGGCGAGGCAAGGCAGAGTGGCTTACCTGCTCGAGCACTTGGATATGGAGGGAGACGTGAGAGAACCGATAAGACTAGTGAGGGAGAGAGTGACCAGACAGGTGGGGAAAGGAGTGAGCAGTGATGCGGCGCGGATGGGAGCATATGCGCACAGGCTCAGGATGTACTGGCAGAATGTGGTACCAGTAGAAGACCTGCAGAAGGAAATAGAAGGGGTGCAGAGAGCTGGGGGACGGAAGCTGAGCGACATATTGGAGCCAAGAAGAACGCCAGCACCAGTGACCAAGAAGGGCTACAGCAGGCATTATCCCTGCAGCCGGGTGGGACAGGAAAGGCAGGCACTGCCTACCCTGGTGTCATATGAGGGGGCAGCAGGCTATCAGATGGATGGGAAGCAGCCAGGCCCAGGATTGGTGCATGACCACAGGAAGGGACAGTGGGAAGAGCCCACGGCCTTGGAGAGGGAGCTGGCCATGGGGTACAAGGAGAACGCGACAGCTGCCTCAGGCGTGAGCGAGAAGGAACGGAGACGGGCATTGGGGAATGCCATGGATGGGTACATGATGAGGTGGTTGGTGCAGCGGATGTGGAAGGAGACAGTGCTGCACTGGGGACTGAAGGAGGGAGAAAACACAGTGGCAACGGTGAGGCACAAGGTGTCGGCCTGCCTGCAGAAACAGGAGCCAGAGTGGAAGATAGGTGAGAGCATGAGCGAAGAAGGGAAGGCAGCGATGCGAGCACTGCTGGCAAGGCATCGGAAGGGCTTCGCCTTCACACTGCTGGAGTTGGGGAAGTGCAAGATCAAAGAGATGGCGCTGAAATTGAGTAGTGACGAGCCGGTGTTCCACCGCCGGAGGAAGATGCCACCAGGGGATGAAGTGATCTGCAGGGAGAAGATAAAGGAGTTACTGGAAGCCGGATTGATCAGGAGGTCAGAATCAGAATACGCTACCCCAACCGTGGTGGCAGCCAGGAAGGACTTGACAGGCGAGGTGTTGAGTAGGAGGATGTGCGAGGACTACAGGGATCTCAACAAAATTACAGTGCCAGATAGATACCCAATGCCGATAGCGGAAGAGCTCTTTGACAAGCTGGCTGACGGGGTGTTCTTCACGACGCTGGACCTGCGACAGGGGTTCAATCAAATCAAGATCAGAGAGGAGGATGTGAAGAAAAAGGCTTTCCACGGACCGGATGGGCCGTACGAGTGGCTTTACATGCCCTTCGGTCTGAGGAACGCCTCGGCGGTGTTTCAGAGAGTCATGGACGCGGTGCTGCAGGGAATAGAACACGCGGCGTGCTATATTGATGATGTCGTGATCTTCAGCTTGACCGAACAGCAGCACCTGGAGGACGTGGAGAGGACCTTGACCGCCATAGAAGGGGCAGGGCTCACCTGCCATCCCAACAAGTGCAGGTGGGGGGAGCGGACAGTGCAGTATCTTGGGTATGAGGTCACAGGGGGGCAGATTGGTATCCAGCAAGCGAAGGTGCAAGTGCTGGACAGGCTGAGGGAACCAAGAGACAAGCCAGGGCTGCGTGCGGTCTTGGGCTTCCTCAGCTACTACAGGCGCTTCGTGCCGAACTTCAGCAAACGAGCGACAGTACTAAATGGGATGCTGCGGGAGGACAAGGCATGGGAGTGGGGAGAGGAGCAGAGACACGCACTGCAAGACCTCATGACAGCCATGAAGACAGCGACAGTGCTGCGGCTGCCAGCAGCGGACCAGCCCTTCATCCTCTACACAGACTGGAGCAGCCAAGGGATGGGGGCAATATTATGCCAGGAGGTGGAGGGAGTGGAGAAGGTGGTGGCCTACGCCAGCAGGAGCTGCAACCCGGCGGAAGCACAATATAGCTCATACATTGGGGAAGGGCTGGCGGCAGTGTGGGCGGTCGGGCATTTCCGGATATACCTGCAAGGCTGAGAATTTACCCTAGTCACTGACCATCAGCCACTCACCTGGCTGATGACTACACCAGGGCTGACAGGCAGGAACGCGCGGTGGGCAGTGAAGCTGCAGGAGTATGATTTCAAGATCAGGCACAGGCCGGGGAAGACGTTGCAGCACGTTGACGGCCTCTCCCGCAATCCACCGCCGCTGGAAACGAAACAGGCCACCTTGGGGACGGAAGAGACAGAGCAAGAGCCGGCACGGACCTTGATATTACTGGCAAGAGAGGTGGAGCAGAAGGGGGCGAAGGGGAGTAAGGGAACAACCGACATCTGGTTGGATGCAAAGGCAATGCAATGGGTGAAGGGAGAAATCGAGGAGGATGAAACGGTGCCTGAGAGAGTAAGGGCACGAGGGCACCACTACAGGTGGTATCAGCAGCAGCTGCAGATCAAGACGGAGGATGGGTGGAAGCTGGTGCCAGCACCCGAGGACCGTGAAGCAGTGATCAAGGAAGTGCACACTAAGCTGGGGCACTTCGGGCACGAGAGGACCGTACACCTGCTGAAGACGGGCTGGTGGTGGGAAGGGATGCGCAGGCAAGTAAAAGAGTGGGTGAAGGGGTGCGAGGCGTGTCAGAGGAGCAAAGCAAACCTGACGCAGGCCAAAGCAGAGCTGCACTCACTGCCAATCTGCGGACTAGGGTTCCGTTGGTCCCTGGACCTCGCGGGAGAGCTGCCACTGAGTCGGAGTGGGAATCAGTACATCGTGTTCATGGTGGAACATGTGAGCAAGTGGCTGGAGGTGCGAGCGATCCCTAGCAAGAGCGTGAGGCA